AGCTGGGCTTGGTGGTGGGCACCTGTGGTCCCAGCTACTCAGGAGGCTGAGGCAGGAGAATCGCTTGAATCTGGGAGGTGGAGGTTGCAGTGAGCAGGGATCGTGCCACCGCACTCCAGCCTGGTGACAGAGCGAGACTCTGTCTCAAGAAGAAAAAAAAAAACGATATACTCCCATTTACAGGTAGGGATAATTTTGCTGTAGGGCAGAAACCCTTAAATGCAACGATGTTTAACTGTTTTGCTGCCAACCTTCCTTTAGATAGGAAACTTCTTACAGATCGTGGAGAGCTGCAGCCAGCTCCAGCGTCTCCATTCGGACGAGGTGGGTTTCTGGGTCTTGGAGGAGGGGAGGGGACAGGCCTAGGTGAAGGGTGCATCCCCGAGGCTCTCACCACCGTGTGCCTGGCCGGCCAGGTGTCGCCTGCCGAACCAGTCAGCCCTGCGACGCCCCTGCGCGTGGAGGACCAGACCCCGCAGAAGTCCGACTTTGAGGACATCATGGCCAGCAGGTCCTCCCACTGGCTCCGGGAGTCTTTGGGGGCTGACGACAAACCAGAGACCCAGCTGTTGTGGGACAAGGAGGCTTGGTTTTGGCACGATGCTCTGACCGAGAAACTCTGGCAGATTTTTGCCCGCATCCGTGATGAGAAGGAGATGCCCAGAGACAGGCGTGAGTGTCCCCGGGGGTGGGGGGAGGGGCGGCTGCCGGCTGCGTCCCAGGGGCTGTGTGATGAACCCTGGCGTTTTCTCCCTGTCTCCCTCCTCCTCTCCGTTGTCACAGCGACCGAGCAGGCACCAGGCCTGGTGAGTAAACAACCTTCCCAAAGCGGGGGGCTTCTGGGCGGCACTGGGGCTCCCCCATGTCAGGGCACTGGGGTTCCTGTGGGATTTGTCTTCTGTCCTGCCCTTTGGGTCCCCTCCAGGGGGGACTGGGGTGATCCAGGAGGCTGCACTGGAGCACCCCAGGACCCACAGCCCAGGGCTTCCTGGACTCTCTACGCTGCCTGGACCAGGAGATGGGACCCCAGGCAGCTGACAAGCCCCGTGCACGCTGCTCGGGAGTCCCTGAGGTTTTCTGGTGCTAACAGGCAGCTCGGCAGGCCTGATGAGACTTTCCCATTTCCCACGGGCAGGAAAGCAAGGCGCCAGGATCCTCTAGTCCTGGAGCAGACCCGTGTCCTGCTGATGATGCATCAGGTAATCCCCGTGGGCAGGGGCCGACTCCCAGGATGGGGTTGGGAGGGGCAGGCTGCACGTGGGAGCCAACACATGCATGCCGCTGAGCCCCTCCCGTCTCTCCACTAGCCCCAAGGCCACCTGAGACCTCCTCCCACGCCCCTGAGGGTCCCCAAGAAGGGAGCACAAGCTGGGGTACAGTCCAGGTGAGACCCAGGCCTGAGCTGGTGGTGGTGGCCCAGCGTGAAGGCTGCCCCAGGTGGGGTAGAGGAGGTGGGCACAGACGAGGGAGGGGGAGGATGGGAGCAGCTGTGATCTCTCCCTCCCCACCACCTGCAGGAACCTTCTAGAAGAGCCTCTCTGTTTCTGCAGCCCATGTAAGTGTCTGCACCGTTCGCTTCTGGGTGGGATGAGGGGCAGCAGGAATTCCATCCCGTCAACACCTCTGTCTGAGGCACTCAGAGGGGACCAGAGGTGTGAGATTTTCTTCCCCCTTTCCCATCACTGCTCTGCCCTTCTCTCCAACAGCAGCTGTGCGAGGCTGGGCAGAGAAGTGCAGTGTTACGGAGGGTCACAGGATCTCTGCCCCAACCCTGGGCTCAAGGCATTAGGGGAAGAAATTTTCATAGAAGGGGGTGAGGCATGGCTGTGCTGGAACTGGATGCAGACTGTCCCAACCTTGTGGAGTGATGCTGGGAGAATCCAGATGGAGCAAAGAAAGCTTTTCTGGGAAGGGGCATAATAGCTAGGACCCTAAAGGATGCATAGGAGTTCTCCCTCGTGGGGCAAAGCAGTCCAGGAAGAAGGCAGAAATACATGGAGGGCCGTGATAAAGACACAATGCTTGAAGGAATGTGAGCAGGACTTTTGGGGAGTCTGATAAAACAGGGCCCGAGAGGGGACCCCAACATCTGAAAAAGAATGAAGCCCCTCTAGGGCTTGATGTGTGGCTCCCACTGTACCAAGGAGCCCACAGGCAGGCCAGTTACCCCGAGATCTCCCCTCCCAAGATCCTGGGACCCTGAGGACTTTGAAGATGCATGGAAGAGGCCGGATGCCTTGCCCAGGCAATCTCAGAGACTGGCTGTCCCGTGCAAAATGGAGAAGATGCGGATTTTGGTACACGGGGAACTGGTGCTCGCCATGGCCGTCAGCAGCTTCACGCGGCACGTGTTCACCTGTGGCAGGAAAAGCATCAAGGTGTGGAGTCTGACAGGCCAGGTGGCTGAAGACAGGTTCCCTGAGAGCCACCTGCCTGTACAGGTGAGGGTGGCCCTAACTTCCAGGATTTCAGGGCTCCTGGGAATGGGGGGTTTGAGTCGGGGAGAGCCTAGATGGTGGAGAAAAGGCTTCCAGGGAAAAGGGGCATAAAAGCTCGGACCCTGAAGGATGAATAGGAGTTCGACCTCATGGGGCAAAGCAGTTCAGGCAGAATGCCACCGGGAGTGACAGCTCACACTGACTCTGCCCATCACAGACGCCTGGGGCCTTCCTGCGCACCTGCCTGCTGTCCTCAAATAGTAGGAGCCTGTTGGCAGGGGGGTACAACCTGCCCAGCGTGAGCGTGTGGGACCTGGTGGCGCCCTCCCTGCACGTGAAGGAGGAGTTGCCCTGTGCTGGTCTCAACTGCCAGACCCTGGCTGCCGACCTGGATGCCAACCTGGCCTTCGCCGGCTTCACCAATGGCGTGGTCAGGATCTGGGACGTGCGGGACCAGAGCGTGGTCAGGTGCGTCCGGGGGGTGGGCAGGGGCAGCGTCCTGTTTCCAGCGTCCCCTAGCCACCTCTGCCCGCCTTCCTGCCGCCACCCGAACCTGGCACTGTCCCAGCCAAAACCCCTTGCCGCCTTGAAACTGCATGTCAGAAAGTTGGAGGTGCAGATTGGAACCTGGGCTGCATTGTGTTCTGTGCGGCTCAGGGCATTTTCCTTTTTGTCTGCCTTGGTTTCTTCAGCTGGACACAGGATGTGATGGCCACAAGCTCAAAGGATTCTTAGAAGGGGAAGCTGGGGCAGTGAGCTATACAAATACCCAACAGTAGGCCAGGCGTGGTGGCTCAGACATGTAAACCCAGCACTTTGGGAGGTCAAGACGGGAGTCTTGCTTGAGGCCAGGAGTTCGAGGTCAACCTAGGTAACATAATGAGGCCCCATCTCTTTTATTTTTGAGACAAGAGTCTGGCCGTGTTGCCCAGGCTGGAGTGCAGTGGTGTGTTCTTGGCTCACTGCAACTTCCACCTCCCCGGTTCGAGTGATTCTCCTGCCTCGGCCTCCAGAGTAGCTGGGATTACAGGCATCTGCCACTACACTGAGCTAATTTTTCTATTTTTAGTACAGGCGGGGTTCCACCCTGTTGGCCAGGCTGGTCTCAAACTTCCCAAAGTGCTGGGATTACAAGCGTGAGCCAGTGTGCCCAGCCCCCATCCCTATTTTTTTTTAAAAAATGTATAAATCAAAAAACATAAAACAGGCCATGCACGGTGGCTCACGACGTATAGATACATAGAGAATACCTGTCTGCATACATTTGCAGAAAGCCATGGCTGACAAAGAATACAGCGCACCACCTGCTTGCGGGGGTTCCTGCAGACCCGCTTCGCAGCCCGGGTGGACTCAGGGTGGAAGAGGCACGGGCAGGTCCCGGTGGACGGAGGAGGGAGGCTGGGGGCCGGGAGGGGCCGGCACTGGATCCTCTGTCCCTTTTCTGCCAACTTTGACACATGCTTTGTGAAGGCACAGATGGCTGGGTGGTGGCAGTGCCCTGTAATGCCCAAACGTACTGACCAGTGTTTCCAGGGGCCCAAACCTCAGTCTTGGCCTGACTGCCTCCTGATGTCCCTTCTGGCCAGGGACCTCAGGGGTCTCCCTGACGGAGTGAAAGACATCGCGGTCAAAGGTTACAGCATCTGGACCGGGGGCCTGGATGCCTGTCTGCGGTGCTGGGATCAGAGGAGTATCACGAAACCCCTGGAATACCAATTCGAGTCCCAGGTGCGGAGGCCGGGTTGGGATCCGCTTGGCTGGGCATCCTCTGATCCTCAGATTAGAAAATGAGGTCAGCCAGGCACAGTGGCTCACACCTGTGACCCCAGTGCACGCCTGTAACCCCAGCTACTCGGGAGGCTGAGGCAGGAGAAGCGCTCGAACCCGGGAGGTGGAGGTTGCAGTGAGCCGAGATCACGCCACTGCACTCTAGTCTGGGCAC